TTGGGTTTTTCATTTTTGTTTCTTGCTTTGCTTCGCTGACGATCATCAAAATTCTATAATTTGATTGGCTGTGATCACGTGAAATTGCACCCGCTTTAGATGACCCCCAAATATGGTAATGCTCCAGACTTATATCAGTTCCCGATTCCTAGTTATATTTATTAATAATCATAATACAACTAGATTATATATGATTTTTTATAAATAAAAAATATATACGCTAATTATGCTAATATTTATATATATAATATATATATAATTACTGGTATATTCTGTTTTAAATAATTTAATTAATTTTATAATATAAAATTAGTATATAATAATAATAATTTAATAATTAAAAATAATATATACATATATATTTAATATTTTATTTTTTTTGATTTATTGCTTGTTTGTTTTTTTGATACTGCTGCAGCATTTTTAGTTGAACCTTTTTTTGTCATTAAACGAGTTGAGCATGTTAATTGAGTTGATCTTTTTTTTTCTATACAAAAAATTAATTTTATTATATGTATAATATTATATAAATATTATAAATTATATTGTTTTAAATAAATATATATACTATTTTTTTTAGATTTCTGCATAGAATTATTAAGTGTATTATCAGGCATCACTTGAGTATTTTTATTAAATAAAAAAATTATATTACAAAATTTTATATTTGTTTTTTTAAAAAATAAATTAATGAATTAATTTTTATCTAAATGTTGTTGAATATCATTGTTATAGTCAACTTCAATTATTTTTTTACCAGAATCTTGCTGATTATTATTATTATCTTCAATTGCATTAAAAGGTTGAGTATTATTATTATTATTGTTATCTTCAATTATATTAAACGATTGTTGAGTATCGTTATTATTGTTACAGTACCGTGGCCTTCTTAATAGCAGTACTATAACAATGACACAGCTACAGAGATCCTTCACAGGTTTATAGCAGTATCCAATAGGTAAGTATAATTTCTGCTTCTTGGAGAAACTATACCCTTCTGTCTGTGGCAATTCAGGCAGACAATAGTTTATAGATAAAATATATGTTTATTAAAGATAAATAAGATAGGCTATCCTTAGGTTTCTAT